AGAAAAGTTTTTTGCTGGTAGAAAAAAAATTTTCAGCTAAACAGTTGATGTGATAATTCTTTTGAATAGCAACACAATATTGAAGTTTGTAAGTTATGATGATGAAAATTTGTTTTAACAAACAATAGCAATGAAAAAGCGAAAACAGAATTGAATTCATGCATTTATTTCGAACATTTCCGCTCTAAATAAATAGTGTTATGCTAGTTCAACCCTCATCAATCGAATCAAATACACTCAACTGTTGTTCACTGGCTTCATGGATCGCTCGTTTGATACGCGAAACTTCAGACGACCTACCAGATATGTAAGCACTACAAGATAATATAATATATGTTCATTCCACGGCTAAAACAATGTGCACGGAAACGCGAACATTGTCATCAGCAACATTACAAACGCTTGATAGCCTGCTTGCCAATCCAGGTAATGTTTCATTCCGGTAATTTTGTGACTATGCCTTGTAAGACTTGGTAAGCGCTAAATTAGTACATTCATCGCATTTTGGGTGGTCTTTTACAATTTTGTTTGGTTGCAAATGATATATGAATGCATATGGCAGGAAAACAAACTCGAAAAATTAAGATTACAAATAATGTGCCTCCCTTTAGTGCTGTGACACATCGTCATTTCCTCCTGCAATAATTTACGAAATCGCAGTGTCTCGTCTCCTCTGTCAACCTATCACATTTTGACATGAAAATAAAAAAACTAATCTAATGATCAAGAACATTCTCGTCAAGAATTCGTCGACGGTACTAGATTGAATCACTTCGCTCCGACCAAACACACATTTGAAAAAATATTGTTAAACATTTGCAGGGGAAACAATCTCAAAAGATCGATCAATAATGATCGGATAACCTCCTCAATTCTTCCTAATACTCTCAAAGACCCTCCGGGGGAGGATTTTTCTACCACTAAGTTAGAACATTGTTGCAAAATAGAGATTCGACGAGATCAACCGGAATAATAACTCAAAAAACTGGAGTTAACTTCGTTTACACGTACTTTAACTTTGAATCATTGAATTGCGTTCATCTGATGAATGAGGCAAAATGAGGGCACTGTTGTCGATATGCTGTCGGAGCGCTAACAACGAGCGAAAATTTTTCATTTGATTAAATTTACTACATCTGTGATCGATGGAGCAAGAATTTTTATTATTGAGCGAATTACTTTTGAATGAAAGAATTGTGGCAATTTTGTTCATAGATATTTAAGTTAACATATTTTAAAAACTTGTTTCATGAATGAAACGATTGAATTGTACATAATAGGCTAGCTGCAATCAACCATTTAACCAAATTCTGAAATTTTGAAACCTTGACTGATGCGCAATAACTTTAAAAGCCAATAAACTGACGGATTTTCCGAATTGATGCTACTTTGGGGCACTTCATACGATTCGAGTGTCTTCGACGATGAAGGGCGGAATCAAACGAGTCGGCAAAGATGGATGGGCGAACGAGCGATTGTTATTATGCAGCCATTATGCAGGGTGTACAGCTGCTGTTCATGTGACGATTATGTGCACATTTTGAGAAAAGAGTATTATTATGATTGTTATTATAATTTTGATTATCATTGCTACTCTCCTCTTTGATATCCAGATAACAGTGATATTTACACTGTCGTTACCCTTGTTTTTATTGTTGTTATTACAACAGAAAAGCGGAAGGATATTATGTGGTTAACATCACTCGTAAAATTCACGCCGAATCATTAATAGAAACTGAATTTGGTAATTTTTTAGGTTGAGAATAGGACATTCACCAGGTAGCAGAAATAGATCGGCTAGAAATGCCGTATGGGAGTTGAGAAATTGATAAAACAATTGTTTCGAAGAGACAAAAATTAAAAGGAAATACGTGGAAGTTTTTCAGTTTGTTTTCAAATGGGAGTGAGACGATTGATTTATCTGAGCCTGCCATGGAACGTATTGAAAAGGAAAAGTACTTCTTCTTTGAGGATTGATTTTTCTTTTGAAAACAGCGCATAAACTTCATCAACTTACTTGATCCATTTTCACTTGTTATTCACTTCTGTAAACTATTATTGTTTATTACTATGAATATGCTTCACAGAAATCAGGAAGGCCACCTTGATTTTCTTATGACGTGAGTTTTGCGCTTTTCGGTGAGTATTAATATAAATATTATTGAAAATGAAGCAAAGTTAACTTCATTAGGCATAAACAATTTATTTGTGAAAACATGAATCAGATGATCAGTTTAATGCATGAATAGATATTATCGTGATATAACTATCCCAGGATAAGCTCCACTTGAGACTATGGCTCAGAGCAGTGATTCTCTTAGGAACTGGAGGACACAACTCAAGGAAAGTGGTTGAAATCCGTGGCTGTCTACTTGTTTCTCTTACCACAGAAAAGTGTGACGATGAGATGAGATGAGATGAGATGTACAGAGGACACCCGAGCAATACTGAACGAATTTGCTATGAGAGACAGAAATGGAATGCAAGAAAAGTGCAAAGTTTAATACTGAATATTACTAAAATCAGAGTGTTTATAAATATTTACAATGAAATCCAATCACATAAGAACATATCCAATATTATCACTTAGTCACTTATTCAAATCTCCTTCAGTGCGATCTTAATGAATCGCTGTATTATCATAATCAAGATGTTGCATCACTTCTTAACACCTTGTTTTCGTCGGACTCAGATGAAATACCTATTTGTCCACGAAGAACTCAGTCAGGTTACTTGGCCATTTAATGCGGCCAAAATACATTTAATCTGGCCGTCCGTGACTGCTTTCAACGAGATATGATAGCCATCAACTAGTTGTTAGTCCTCGTACCTGTGTTTCCAAACAAAAAACATTCCCTACAGCTATTTCCACTTTAAACAAAAATTCATGTTATTGGCTAAAAACATGCTCTAGTTTCAACGTTGGTATGCAGTTCGATTTCAACATTGATATGAGGAAAGCAAACTCTCTCTTGCGAATGAGACTCTTGTTTGCTTACTGACCAGACTTACTCGTTTCAAATGATACACATCTTATAGCTGCACAAACAATAATTGCATTTGTTTGTTGCTTTGCATTATTTGGAAGTAGTGAGGGCATCTGAGCGGAATTTCATGTTGGTCGGAACCCGGCCGGATGCCATCAATACTTTGAAGGACAATAATGCAGATCAACGAGTTCTCATGGAGAGATACGAATTTCCTTTTGCATCTACACCTCCAAGTCTTCATGGTGGAGCATCGGATTAATCCTTAGTTATGACCAGTTACCCTCATAGAATGAAAATTTTCCTCGGAAGAATTCGAGAATGTTGAGAGGGAACCAATGAGATCGATAAATCAGTGTTCATTGATTTTTTTCTTGATAATTCTTCCATAGCTGCTCAAAAAAGTGCTTGTTTGAAAACTAGAAATCAATCCTTTTCCATACAACCGACGAATTCTTTGATCAACAGATCGGTTTTTTTCTGATTTATTGCAAAGAAGTACTAGATTTCCAGAGAAGGGTGGGAGAGGGGAGAGGGGGACTGCGTTCACGTATATTGTTGGCGGAGGGAAATAGTAGTCTATCATAACGGAAACATGGAGCCTAAGAGTATGACAACTGTTGATCGTGAGCTGCTTATACATATGTAGTTGGTGTGTCAATGCGGTATACGATCGATTTAGTGTGTTATAGATGAAACAATGACAATGTAATTGAAAGTACATGCTGAAAATCACCAACTGTCATTAATATAGCAGTTTTTGCCGAATCTGTATGTGAAACTTTCAAAATGCTTCCCTATAGTTTTACAGTTTAAAATTTCTTCGAAATATACCTTAGTATATCTTTGGGAGCAATATTTAATGCAAGATACGGTGTTTAATTTTCGAGGAAGTACGGTGATCGGGTATTGAGTTGGCGTAACAGTGGTCGTCTGTCGTTTGGCCTCATCGCATTTCGTCCTATGACCATCATGAAACTCAATGCGAGGAATGATAAGAAATTGAGGTTGTGTTTCTCTCGTCCATCCGAAAGTCTTGATTAGATAATGCTCATCGAAACTTATCAATTGTTGCAGTTACACTTTCTATTTTGGGTCAAAGACGATATCCTTAATAAATAGTCGTGAACCAATGAAAAAATCAGTAAATCAAATCGATGATGTTGTTAATTTGAATGCTCAAACGAACGTTTCGTGAGAATTGACATTGTGTCATTCAATTGGCATTCTATCGAATGTCATCAACAGAACAAATGTACAAAATTCCTAATGACTGACTGTGCACACCATTGCTAGTTGTGCATATACTGCAATAGCCGGGGGCAATTTGTTCGTGATCAACGTATGTATATGTGTGTATGTGTTCAAAGAAGCATGTTATGCACCTAATATCGTATCACTAGGTTGCATGAGATCATATGTGTGCATATACGTGCACACATATGATCTCATTTTTTTCCAATTGAAACGTTCGATTTCATCGCCAATAAATATTTCGTTGTGTATTCTAACAGATGCTTGCAATATTGCATTTTTTGTGTCTAAAAGAAAATCGTATGTTGAATACTTTGTTCGTTTAAGAGAACTTTTTCCTGGCCTTTCTGTATTAGTAGATGAAAGAAATTTTAGAATTTCACCTTTGGAAATTTCTGACAGAATTTAGTTTGCTATTTGAAATATTGCCAGTAATGCATCATGTTTGATCTGGGTTGCTCTTTTATAAAGTCTTAATTATTGATAGGTGGTAGAGGAACTGAAAATTCCACCGTGAAAAGATGAAAATATTCCATCTTGAGGAATCATTATTCAAAGAATGGAAATTCAAAATCTTGGTTAAAACGGTTGAGAATGCCTTTCTTGTGTTCATACTTTAACGGATAGTTCCAATGGAAACATTTCAATAATTGAAATATTCTGTATTGTTTGTTAGGTAAAAATGAAGTACTTTTATGGTGAAATGAAACCTCTTCGATGCGCAATAAAATAGTTGCATACACAATGACACAAGTTTGTTTGTATGTTTTGTGTACACAAATGTACAACATAATAAAAAAAGCCAAGGGCTATCACAAAGTGCGGTCTTCTGCCGCGAAAATTTTCCACAAAGAAGCACTTACTTTGCTGATTTTAGTGAGAAAAAAGTTCACTGAAATCAACGATGCAATAGACTAAAATGCACTTTCATTCCTAAATTAACTGAACATTTTTTTAAAAATTAATTGCTGCAGTTCCATTGCCTGTCTGCTTTTGGGAGTTCTGAAATGTGCTCTATGTTTGACGAAATTTTTTCACAGTGTTGGTGTATCGAGCGGCGCGAGAAGATTTTTAAATGCAATATTTCTCTTCCCCCGGGAAGCAAGTTCCACGACTTATGGCCCTAATTAATTTCAGTTCAACTTAATATAATCCAACACACATACACATGATATTCTTCAAGATATGATGTTGTTGCATTTTATGAAGTCGATCGTAATCAGGCATTTCTTCAAGTCGACATTACGTAATGTTATTTTAGGCGAGATGTAAATATAGTAACCAAAGAGTTGGTGATGTGTATGGTTCGACAACAATGACACATGCTGTTATTTAAAGTCATAAATTACGTATCGTAAGGTTTCATCATTAAACGAATGCTATTCAGCTAGTCGTGGAACGTGTTCTAAAATTTATTTATTTTCTTTAATGTCTCAATTTATTTCGTCTGCATCAAAAACCCGTTGCTGATAATATGCAAAACGCAATCGCGCATTTTCATCCGATCGTGCAATTAATCTTTCTTTTATTCACGTTGTCCGTATATGGTTGTCGCATTCTTCACTA